GATGACTGATGCATTGGTTTTTTGCAAACATCTTTCCTTATTGGTTGAACACCAAAACTATGCAGAGCTTTTTGTAATGGAGAAAAATACTCAACAAAAGAAGTTGCAAACGTCTATCCCCTACATATTACATATCGCATTCTTTCAATTCTAGATAGCGCTGAGTCTCATACAAGATCCTAATGGATGGGAAACAATCGGAAATCTCCTTTCGAATCCAGAGCTTATTTCACAATTTGTTGCTGGCACAGGGATGGAGGAACTCGTCGGAAGCGCACTGGGTGACAAGAAAGAATTAGCGAAAAGTAAGTACAGTTTTGAACACAGCATAAAGTATGGAGTAAGTATGAAACTTGGCATGGTGGTGGTTCTCGATGAAATTTCCATAATTTTTTGTGATAGCAAAACGATGCATTCTATGTGGTTACTAGTGCAGTCTGTCACAATCGGATTGTCCCATCCCCTAAATAGCACATCCGCCTCGCCACCGCCTTTGCGGGCCTTCGGCTTATTTGGCGATTCTAGGTCGACAGACGTACACCGGATGTCGCGTAAGGGACACCGCAGTTGAGACAGGCTGTACTTATCCTATGTGATTGAAAGATATCGCAACGTTTTTTTAGTCTGATATCAAATTTCTATAGTTGTCAAAGATTACAGAGTTTCTTCTTGAAGGCACTGTCCAAACTCGTCAAATATAGTTTCTATAAAAAAAAATTTGAGAAATGAATTGTAGCTGGTGTCTTGAGAAATTCAATTGGTCAAAAAGAAGTCAAAATTTGAAATAGGCTAATTTCGAGCTTTTTCTTTGTTCTGAAACGACAATTTGTTCTGTATGTTAATTCGTCCTTGGTTTTTGTCTTGAGCAAAGCACGTATTTTCTGATGCTTTCGTTTTAAGGTTGCGCATCCGCAGAGATTTGGACTTGACGAGTTTCGAAGACCACTTTCAAATTTTGTACCCTACTCTCGAGAATGGACGGTGTCTTTAAGCTCATCGAAAGCAAACTAGTAATATATAATTTACCATCTCGAGTTACTTCAGAGAACTGTCGTTTCAGAGCAGGAAATGAAGTCGAGGTTGATGCCGGAAGACGGAGATTTTGGCATCGAGTTCATCGACGGTACCGACGAGAAGGGCTTACCCGAAAAGAAGACCGAAGGAGAGTTACCAGAAATAGATTTCTCGGTTGATGGCAAAGGTGGCGAAGACTACTATGAGCAAGTTAGTGCTTAAAAATTACCGTGACTCTTTTACAGTGCCGTAATTCACCCTAGTATTATAGGTCTCAGAAGTCATAGATGAAACTACTCCACCTCCGGTGGCTACATCCACTTTGGCCACAACTACAACCACAACTACGACAACTGGTAAATACTACAAATAAATACGTGATCTGTCTAATAATCTGTCGTCCAGATGATCAAGATAACATTTACAGCACCACCCTTACCAGAGATATCATTTTCGATTGATGGTGATGGCGAGGAAGTTGAGACTGTTCAGGTGCCCGCACCGTCTATAAACGTTCAGGTAAGAAGCTGTAAAAATTTAAAATGTCCCATGTGATGCTATGAAGTTCGCGTTCATAGAGAAAAATAGTCACATCCCAATTTATTAAAAATAAATACTTTTGCATTCCGCGCCAATTTGACGCATGCAATGTCGAATCAAGGGTGGCGATCGAAATAGAGTGTAGGTTCTGAAGATTCATATTTCACAGCTCTGACGGTATATGCCGGTAACATGGCAGGTTAACGAATTGCCAGAGAGAGA